TACGATTAACATCTTCATTCTTTGGAGCTAAAATCACTCGATTAATCATATAGTCCAGATCATTTGCATAATTTTCTAAATTTGGTTAAACATGATCTATTAGACTTCATAATCATACCACAGTATGAAGGTTCTTGTTCCATTGTCAATTCTGAGTAAGTACTTACGGAATAATGTATAAAAAATAACTCACATTTTGAACTAATTCTATTTTTGTAAGACTGGTCATGCTTGATGGAAATCCCCTTCGACAACAACCACTTTTTCATCTAATGATAAATGATTATCGTTAATATCTCATAAAATTCAATCTAAAACTTCAATAACTCTACAATCTACTGTTGTAGCTTCATCCTGTATTATCAATCGAGCTGTCCTATATAAGTGAACTAATGCAGATTGTTTCCTCACTGAACAAACCGAATGAATATAAATTTCAAGTGGTATTTTAAATCTAGAATATGTTAACCAGCAACCATGCCTGATGACATTGTTGCTAAAACAATCAGCTTCCTACATCTAGTAGCTGCAAGCAAAATAGCTCGAGAAAAAAATGTTTTCCATGTTGGACCAAGACCATAAACTAAAACAAACCTCCCACATTACAGAAAACTTTATCCAAAATAGAATAGTACGTTTCTCTGTTCTATATTAAGTTCTTTACATAACATATCAGCTTTCATAAAGGTATTCCTAATTCATGGTTTAGTCCAGCTAAAACTTCTTGTTCAGGAATAAATACCTCAAATATAACCAAGTTATAGCCACTTGTTTCCCAGTGGTTCTATAAATGCATTTATGCTCTATTACGCTTTGTTCCAAAACTCATGTTGTTATAGATAATCTTCAATCATAAATTTTTAAATTCGTTCCATAATTTCTTTGGATCATCATGACAATATAATACCAAAAATTAGATAAATAACCAAAGCAATTGGTGTAGCATTTCATAAGCTTGGGCTTCTCTTAAACATAGTTAACAATTATCATTTCCAGCAAGAAAACCTCGCAATTATGCAGCCTCATGAAAAGACAACTCAACAACGCGGTTCACACATTTCAAACTTTCAGAAGATATTGGTCCTCTACAATCATAAATAGTATCTCTCACCTTCACTTGGATTAGCTGCTAATATTCTTCCAATAGCAGTTCAACACTTTCTCCTACTCCAAAATCTTCCGTTTGTATTCCATACATATTTTTCAGGGATATCGTTGCATAATGAATTTCAGACATTTTCATCTATATAATATTGTTGTATACTTACCCTTTCTTGCGTCCACATTTGTACAAATTTCATGATTACAGCAGATCATCAAAGAGTCATGACTTCGAATTCAAAATCATCTTTAAACTTTGTGTTTTGATCTTCTCCCCATTATAACTTCATGTGGAAGTGTTTAAAAACCAATCCCTATCGTCATTGGAAGTGTTAGAATTTGAGTGTGACCCGAATTCCCTATTTAAGTAATTGAAGAATATATATTTGGGCAGAACGCTCGGTGCCGCAACGCCGAGCATGGGCACCGCAACACCACCTGTACCTTTTCCCATTTTTCGCATTTTTCTTTCTTTTTTCATTTTGGACTCTTTTTTTGGCATACTACTTCATCAACAACTCTACAAGGAGGGTTTGGATCTCCCCTACATATTCCCTATAAATATTAGGTTCTTCTACACAATTTCAAAGTGTAAGAAAAGAGATTACTAAAACTTTAGGATCAATTGTATATTTCTCCATCATTATTATTGGCACAATAAAATCTCATAATTCATCTGTCATATTTTCTTGTCTTCTTTTATTCTTTTACTTGTGATCAAATATTTCATTATTGTGCTATATAATTTCAATATCTCAATCCGGTGATTGGTTTCATATCAAATGGTATCAAACAATACGCGATCCTTGAATTTTCAACAAATGGTATAAGATATTAAGGGCATAATTAACACAACAAGTGGTATCAGAGCCTAGGTTAAGTAGTTCTGCAGAGCGCAATGTTTGATTTCTTTGAGGTTTTTGTTCGTGATTGTTTCTATGGAGTATGACATTCTGCTTTTAGATCAGAGCACTAGATTTTCGTTAGACAGTTTAAGATGCGTGCAGTACTCGCACAGTAGGATTTTGATAATGCGTTATTTGGAATTGACAAGATGCCCGCAACTTTGACTGTGGAGGAGAAATTACGGAATGCAGTTTTTCATATTCATCTTCATCTATCAAATTCCAGGGCATTTTGAAGAAAGGATCAACAGCTACTTTGTAGTTGAAATTAGAACAATTGTGCCTGACTAAAAGTCTTACAAGCAAGTTACATGTCAAGCAGCATTTATACTGTCATCAAATGGCAGATGGAAGATCATTGGAAAATCACCTGACTGTATTTAAAGAGATTGTCGCTGATTTGAAAACTTTGGAAGTAAAGTATGATAAAGAAGATTTGACCTTGATCCTATTGTGTTCGTTACCCGATTCATTTTTTTCATTTAGAGACACGATCTTGTATAGTCATGATACTCTCACTATAGAGGAAGTGTATGATGCTTTGTTTTCATAATAAAAGATGAAGCATCTGGTTTCAAAAGTCAGAGGTGGAGAAGGCCTTGTCGCTCATGGTAATTCTGGGAAGTGCAGATCGAAGTCTAAGTTTAATAATCAGATTTGTAACTTCTGCAAGAAGAATAGACACTTGAAGAAGGATTAGTACAAATTGCAAAATATAGAAATGTTGGCTGCAAGTCGATATGAGAAGCAATAAAAGACTTCAAGTGAAGCAAACCTCACAGAGAACATTGTAAGTGAGGGAGATCTCTTGGCTATTTCTGACATCGAGTCTAAACCAGAGGAGGATTTGATTCTGGATTTAGCGTGTCTATTTCATATGTGTCCTAATAAGAACTTGTTTACTACATATGAAACAGTTTCCAAAGGTGTCATGGTTATGAGAGACAACACTCCTTATCAAGTTGCTAGAGTCGGTAGGGTCAGATTGAAACTATTAGATGGGACAATTAGAATATTTGGCTAGGTTCAACATGTTCTGAATTTGAAGAAGAATCACATCTCGTTATCTATCCTTGATTCAAAAGGTTATGAGCAATATCTCAAATTTGATAGCACTATTAGCAATTGTTTATGCAAAGGATTTGACTTGGTATTATTCAGCAGAAGTGCTGACAGTGTTATTGGTGTGTGCCATAGTAGGGTTTCTTGCATACTCACGCACCAGTTATCCACTATGGACTTGCTTATTAGCATTTTTCCTCTATCCATTCTCCTTATGTTTGTTTTATTATGCTCAATTTGTTTGGCACTGGAATTAATGCACTTATGTTATTCGGGTTTCTTCCCTCTTCTACCAAAATAAACGTGTTCATTGGAAAGCCTCTATTACTAATGTAAAGTGAAAAAAATGAACAAAGGAACACAAGAATGAATAGGAAGAAATTTAGTGTATCTGATTCAATTAAAATTGAACTCCCTTCCTGTTGTGTTAATTATGTCTAGAATCTCTTATACCAATTATTGAGAATTCAAGGATCGCGTATTCTTCGATATCACTTAAAATGAAACCAACCACCAGATTGAGATATTAAAATTATATGATACAATAATAAAGTATTTGATCACAAGTAAAAGAATAAAGAAGACAAGAAAATATGTTTGAGGAGTTAAGAGATTTTATTGCACCACAAATAATGAAGACTGAGAAATATTACAATGATCCTAAAAGTTAGTAATCACTTTTCTCACAAAATAAAATTGTATAGAAGAGCTTAATATTTATAGATAATGTCCAAACCCTAATAGATGTGTTATATTTGAAGTAGAATGCCAAAAACGTGTAAAAACGTGAAAAAGACATGGGCGGGATAACCTGTCGCTCGAGTGCCAAGAGGGCGATAGACTAGCTATCAAGTCTTGAGAGAAAACCTGCAAGTGTTGTTCGAGCGGCCGCTAGTGGTAAGCTAGCAAAAATACAGCGACTTTTCTTCCCGATCCATAATTTCATTATCTTCAAATCCAATACAAATTCAAACTCTCAATAAGGCTTCCAAATGGAATTTCAACTTGAATAAGACTCCAATAGCATCCCAAACTGAATTCCTCTTGACGTGCACTTTAATTAGAATTCATCAATTATTTCAACAAGAAATTCAAGTGACACCCAAATTCTAACACCCCATCTATTTAATACATACGTCAATTTATTAATGATAGAGAGTACTATTCGCATGCATGTTAAATTACCCATAATATAAAAAACAACAAAATTATAGCATTAAAATTCGAATAAATGCCGTTGTAACTCATCTCAACATCCATTTACCATCATCATTCTTCTAAATTCCTTACATCTGGATGTTAATATATACTTTTGCATGTATCTGCAAAGTTATATACACACACTGTAATTAACATAATTTATATATCAAGATCTCATTTTTGTCGCATTTTCAGTAATTTTGCAACTAGAGATATTCAGTAAAAAACAGGACTAATTTAGTCAGTATTGTGTATAAAACATTGGTGTGCTCATTTTTTTCTAAATAATATACTTGAATAATATATAATATTTAAAGGACAGAAGTTACGAGTTTTCATTTATTTTTAAAAAAATTAGTTGTTAATACAACGTCATATTAGTTTGCAGTCTTGTTGATGTGTGTGTCTCGGCCAACCACTTTTAATTTCATGATTGCAGCAGATCATCGAAGAGTCACGACTATCTTTAATTTTTGTTTGTTATGTTCCCTTTTTGATATTCTTGAAAATTTTGTTGCATTTAATTTGTTGGCTTTGTCTTTTCATCTTCTTCCCAGTTGAACTTCAAGCGGAAGTGTTTACAAATCAATCCAACAGTCATTGCAAATTTAATTGAATCAAAGACATTGAATATCTCCTAATTCATTCTTGTTCGTTTGTCCATTCTTTCACTTTACAATAGTAATAGAGGCTTTCCAATGAACATGTTTGTAAACCCAAATAACATGTGGGTTAATTCCAGCGCCAAACAAATTGAGCATAATAATACAAACCTAAGGAGAATGGATAAAGGAAAAATGCTAATAAGCAAGTCCAAAGAGGATAAGTGGTGCGCGAGTATGCTAGAATTCCTACTATGGCGCACACGACCAAAACTGTTAGAACTTCAGCTGAATAATTCCAAGTCAAATCCTTCGCATACACAATTGCCAACAGTGTTGTCAAATTTGAGATGTTGCTCATTACAACTCCACCATAAATCTGCAGTCAAATCGAACAAATAAGTGATCCAGCTTGCACGAGGGCATGTTGAAAATTAAATTTAAATAAATATATGTGATCAGCTGGTTCAGTAGGGACGAAGATATACCTCTGAAAATGTTAAAGAAGCAGTCTTTTCACTCTTGTGACTGGCTGGAAAGATTGCTGCTATTGCTGCTCTTGCATTCATGGCTAACGGAACTATCACAAACGAGATGCCGAAAGAAGGTACACTCATGGAATATGATAACTGTAGGATACTAACCATGAGAGGTCCTCCTATACAGGTCAATATAACAATACCCAGACACACTTGTAATGCTGATTTGATAATAGTCCATACTAATGACTTTCCATGCACCAGTTTTTTCTCCACAATCTGCATGTCAAAGGTTAACAAGGAAAAATATGATTTTGTAATGAAAAAAGGGAACTTCTTAAAGCACAAAAGTAAGTTTCATGGATAGAGATTTGCAATACTTACCTTGTCATATTCATCAATAATTTTTGCCTTGTCTGAGGAATTAGCAGAATGGATGGCTTTATCAACCCATTTTTTTAGTCCATCGACGAATTCTGGTTCATCAATTGTGTTATTACCATCTTTATCAAAATCGTTAAACAACTCCTTTACCACATCCTCATAATTCGGCTGAAATTCTCCGAATTTGACTGTACGGATTAATTTCTCTAGTTCAGTTTTTGATATCTCGTTGTTATTGTCCATGTCAAATTGCTTGAATAGGCTGCCAGAACAATAAGATTGTGAGTAAATACTGCCAGCAAAGAAACAAACAAACAGGTAAAGTAAGAAATTATTTACTTCTTAATTCCTTCAATATTCGGGTTTCCGTCCTCTGTGATAAGTGATTCTGCTTTAAGTAATCTAGTTTCAGCATGAATTAAAATTTTCGACATTATTCTATCAATCTCCTCTGGATCATCTTCTTTCTTATGATTAACAAGCTGAAAGGTCCGCAGAACAACTCAAATCAACAAATATAAAAGAAGCAATTTGCAAATATACATATACATATTCATGACAAATAGAAAATGTTACTTGTATTAGCACCTATAAATATAAAATTGCAATGAAGAGGTTTCTTGCCTCGTGAGTAATCTCTCTTGAAAATGAATTGCCGCTTTTTGTCAACTGTTTGGTTTCAGTTATCCATTTTGTGCAACCACTGACGAATTCTTGATAGTTGATTGTCTCATCACTGTTAAAATCAAATACTCTCATTACTTCAGTAACAGCGAATTGTTTGTCAACCTTCACGTCCCCTGTCTTGATTATTTCAAGCATCAACCTTTCCATTTCACCCTTTGTAATAGATTTGTTTGCATCTTTATCCGTTTCAGAAAATAAACTGCAAAATCGAGTGTATAGAATTAGCATTGAATTTGAGAAACATAGAACAAATCTACAAATAATTTTTTTTTTTGTTACTTTCTGATGACAGGAATGTTGAGTTTTCCGTCTTCATCAACGAGCTTTCCATGTTGTTGCATGTGCTGCAGAAAACTTGTCCTCAGTATCTCATACTTTGAATAGTCTAAGCTTCTTTGCTGAATCCAAGGATTCATAACCTGAGAAAAGAGAGGAAATTAGAAATATTATTAAATCATGTCAAACTAGGCAAACATATTAGCTTTGAATCAATTGTGCTACCTGGTAGGCAAAATACAACAGCAACGATGCGAATGACACAATGAGTGCTATCAAAATCACTACGTGGCTTCCAAACGTTGTTTTGAATACATCGGCTACTTGCACTATAATGTATGGAATCAAAGACAGAAGCATAATCCCAGCTGCATAACGAGTCTCTTTGTCGATTTTAACACCAGTATCTGCACTTGAGAAAGAATTGTAAGCTCTTATAACTAAATGCAAAGCTCAAATGACTTATGCGGAAAAGGCAGACCTTTTAAGTCAGAGACGACTTCTTTGGTTAGCAAACAATTTGAAGTAGTCCAGGCTTCTTCGGTATGATCAGATACCGATTCCTTTGGCAACTTTCTCCTGCCAAAAATTAAGCATATACCCCACTGCAGTGTAAGCGTAAAGACAGTGATTCCAGCATAAATGCCAACTCCAAGTGACACCGTGGCTTGAGCATCCTCTTTGCTACTGAAAATTCCAGATACTGCAAGCAGGGATAAAAATGTACTTTGTTCAAAATACTGAATATGAAAATTCCACATGACAACCATTATGTTCAAACTCATTTTTCTACGTACTTGTTTTTTGCTAGACATTCACACAACAAAATATTCTGCACGTAAACCCAAAAATTTTCCCTAATTTTTAACCACACATTCTTCTAAAAACCACTATTCAAAACTCTATTTTTCACAAAATGGTTGTCAAACAGAGGCATAATTTACATTCCTATTATTTTAAAGCACAGGTCAATACTAAAAAATGAAATTATTGATTGCCAAAGAGAGAATGAATAAGAAAGGTAAAACAGAAGATCAGGAAGTGAACCATACCAATCATCATCAACATTGCCGGTAATCCCACCAGGATTCGGAAAATAATACCAACAATTTTGCCAGTACCAAGAATATTAAAGAGCACCTTGGTCCCTGTGCTCAGCTGCTTTTCTCCAAATATAAGTAGACCCTGATAGATCACTATTTGAAAAATGTATCCTCCGGCATTTTCTGCACATGGTAGGAAGCCATATTGGTGCTGGCAAGTGTTTGCGGAGGAACTAGAAACATTTGCACCATGAACAGGAGATTGATTGTCAAGACGATCAATTCCATCGGAGATCAAATCATCAGAGGAATTGAGTCTTAACATTCGACATTGAATACAGTTGATAAAAAGTATAAGCACCAGAAAGCGTAATCCTAGGATAGCCATTGTTGGAGAATCGGGATACGAGAAACCAACCTATCGAAATCCAGGGAGGATAATGGGAAACTTAAAGAAGAAAACTCTGCGCCAGCAGAACAACATTGACTTCAAACTTTGATTAATGTTGAATACATGGGAATTCACAAAGCAATGGCCTTTTTCATTCATCAAGCCTTTCAACGTATAAAAGTTGCACATTATAATAATCGATTATGCAATCACATGGGCGGCTTTCTATTTTCTATCCAAGAAAATGCAACTATATTTAATTATTGTCTATTTGGTAGAGTCTCTCTATTGCCTGCCAGGCTGATGCTTATGGCATGACATTAACTGAGTAATATTTAATAACGTACTTAAAATATTTTTTTTATAAGATACATCTGAATACAGCTTCCATATGGTGGAGACGATAAGAAACTACAGAAAGAGACAGGAAATTGTACTTCCAGCAAGTCGAAATTTTCCAGTCTGAGTAACTCGGCAGGTGAAATGTACGGACCAGATGTCAAGGCTCACGGCCTACATGGGCTGGGAGGGCATGTATTCGAGAAAAAGGACACAAAATTATGCAAGAGATAAAATCAATTAGAATGACTGTAGAGGAAGGCCTTGCCCGTAGGCTTGACCCTGCCCATCACGAGATATGTCGGCCAGCCTCGTCAGCTTGGGTCTTCTTACCCGTGTTCCTACCACAAGCGACCCTCGCCATGCATCTTGTTTGTTTATTTAGTCCATGTTTGTCTCCCATTCTTTCGAAACTCTTTTTTCTACGTACTCATTTTTAACTACATATTCATACAATAAAATATTCACGTAAATTTAAAACTTTTTCCTACTTTTTAATTACACAAACTCCAAAATTTTATTATTCAAAATAATATTTTTTTTAAAAAATGGCCATCAAACCGGGGCTTAATAATGATGTTATTTATGTAGATTCATGACAATAGTAGTATGCAACCAGAAATAAATTATGTAATGAAACTTTTACAAAACTGAAAATTTTCATAACTTAAATCAGCTGCCTCTCTCATGGGTTTTTTTAACTTAATTCAGATGCATCGGGTCCCCTTTTGTTCTTTTTTTATTCAGCAAATAATAAATAATTATTTTTGTGCATAAGAAAATTGTACGATTCCTCTAATCAAACTACCTCGCGTGTGTCCTTTAATAAGGGTTATCAGTACAAAACATCCTCACTTATAGATTTCATTGTGCAAATCGTCTCTGAAAGTAATGAGTTTGACCCGACTAATACCTAGAGGGGGTGAATAGGTGTTCATACGCAGAATTAAAATTTGTTAATTAATAAGTGCAGCAAAATCACAATTATTAATTTTGTCCAGATTAATTCACATGCAATTCTATCCTATGTTGAATTACCATAGTTGATATATTGCATGAAAAATAAACAACAATACAAAATTATAGACGGAAAAAACCCTTAACGGATAAAAAAATCTAGGCACAAGCCAGTAGTATCCATTATAAACAATAAAGACTTACAAACTGGTCAAACTTACTAAACCTTAGTACTTTCTAACCTCTTGACTGTAATCATCAAGGCCCTCCTAGACTACGAGCTCCTTCACTAGCTCCTGGCCTTCTGGAATCATTTATCTCTTATGGATCATCTGAAAACTCTTGTTTTTCTTCAACCGAAACGCTTGTCACCTTCCTTGATCTTCAGAACTCTAACAGGATTATGCAAAAGTTGGGTTTTGGTGTTTGGTTCATGTGAAGTTGATGTTTTTCAATGCTATGAAGAAATAAAAAAGAAGATTGAACTCTTATAATGATATGTAAAAAGTAATCTCTTGTTTTTCTCAATGTTCAACACCTATTTTTCGAATGGAGGCGTGGATATATTGTGTAGAGGTTTCGGGTAGTATGCACCGATAAAAACGCGAATTAGATTTTTTCGGGATACACTGTCACTTGAGCGAGGTTCAAGCGACAGGCGGGCGACTCAACTTTTATTTTTATCGCTCGAGAGTCAGCTGGGCGATATGCTGGCAAAATTGTGGCGACACTTTTCTCCTCATTCCATACTCGAACCCTATGACTTCTAATTCACCTATACAACTTGCCACTTTTAAAAACTCTTTTTTAGCAATAATTTTGTCAAAAGATTGCCATCTTTAAAACCTAATAATTTTTGAAAATATGAAGTTCGACCCAAACTACATCTAGAGAGGAGTTAATAGGTGATTACGCAAAATTAAAAACTTAATAATTAAATAGCAATAAGTCACTATTAATTATCTCTAGATGGTTAATCATATAATTCAATTTTATCTTATGTTGAAATACCGCAGTTATGAAAGCAATAAATTAACACAAGATCTAATCACGGAGAAACCCCAACTTGGTAAAAGCTCCGAGCACTTTGCCCGTCAACAATCCACTATAAACGATTTAAAACTTACAGCCCCCCAGACTCGACTACCACTAGTACTTTCTGACCTCCTGATTGCAATTCCAACAGCTCTCCTAGACTTCATGCTCCTGCATCACCTCCCGGCTACAGTTTCCAAAGCTCTCCTGGATTGCTCTCTCCTGCAGCAACTCCAAACTTTATGAAATCATCTATCTCCTGTGGATTAACAAAGAACACCGAGTTCTTCAATGACTGGAACTCCAGTCACCTTCCCTTGATTTTTAGAACTTCTAACAGATATGAAAGAAGCAGTAGTTTCGTATTTGGATTGTGAGTTTGATATTTCACCACCAATTGCCAATAATAGGATGAAGGTTGAAAGCAAATTTATCAAGATGATATGACAAGAATATGTTTTCCACAATGTTCAACCTTGAAAATCTCGTTCAGAGGTGTTTAGGTATTTATATGTAGGTTAAAATATGAATGAGCCAGGTAAAAAATCTTAAGAAAATGAATTAAAAAAAATTCACGGATAAATCTATAGCTCGAGTGAGAACTGGGCGACAGTCGAGTGACAGTGTTCGCTCGAGCGAAAACCTGGCGACAGTGTTACTGTTTCTAACGCTCGATCCAAGTCTTGACGACATTCCAGCAAAATTGCGTCACCTTTTTTACTTCTTTTCCATTCTCGAACCCTAGACCTAAAATAACTTAATTTCCACTATTTGCACATAACTCCTTGACTTTTACAACATGTTAATTTTAGTCCCTTTTGTTCATAGATTTGCCAATTTCATCAAATACCTAACAAGCTCTCCATTTGGCATTCTGTGACAAAACTACTATCTAAAGTCAAGGCAGCAGTGAAATAAAGTTACAGACTCATAGACTGATACAACCAATAACTGTCTTGATCGAATTCTGCTTTTCATATATCAAAATATGTTTCCTGAAATAGACAACTCAAATACCCAGTGTAAAATGTATGTGAAATAGTACTAAGCGTAAAAACAATTCAAATAGTTAAAGTAAGTAGTTCACAGTGTAAAAGTGATTTAAGCAATTAATGCATCTTTTCAGTTTCATGTCATAAGCTAAATTAAGATGTAATATCAATGCAACCCAACATACCAAAAATAAAATATTGATACTACAAAACATCAAAACTTAATTTAGCAATACTGAAAATTATCATTTAATAAAAGTTTTAGATACATCATGTCAAGTAGTTAAAAGCATATACATTCTCAAAAATACTACTCTATCAAAAATATATACAACTAACTACTCCCCCTTTTTGTTACAAAATGACAAGGGGCAACCTATCAACTAAGTTGCATCGCAAGCATCATCAGAATCAATCATCTCGTCAGAAGATGCACCATCATCCCAATAACGACCAATCTATCGTAACCTATAAGCGCAACAAATGGGTCAATGGGAACAGATGGAATATCAGCAGGTCGAGGAGTAGACTCAGCTGGAGGAGGAGGAAAAGTAGAAAAAGATGAAATATCAGCAGGTTGAGAAGCAGAAGAAGAAGGAGAAAAATTGGATAGGTCAACAGAAATAAGGTCATCAATAGGATCAGCTGGCACAGTCGGATCAGCTAGCTCAGAAAAAGCATAAGACCGACTCTGAGAAATAGCAATGTGGCCAATCGGCCGATGGACCCCCTCCGAAAAACTAACACCAAGTGTTATCACAAGGTGAAAAATAAGGCAAGCATAAGGAAGTCCCACCAGGGTCCCCATGACACTAAAGGCACACAAGATCTGCTGACAAATGAACATGGGCAGATCAATAGAGTCGCCGTGCAACAAGACGTACAAAAATCGAGTCTTCTTTATTGGTAAGGAAGAGGTATATGACACTGGCCATCGATTAGTGCACACAATGCACAATAGAATTTGGCAGTCAGTAGGAAGCGATACAGTGCTCGTCGTACCGGGACCACTCTCCAACAATGTATTAAACATCGTAGAATGAACAAACAAGTCCGCTAGAAGAGTATCAATAGACATATGAGGAAATAATGGGTGGACGACCTAAGGAATATGTATTAGACTAGATAAGACTTCATGTGTGATCTTAACTGTACTACCCCGCAGAAAAATCCGAAAAGTCGAACCGCTAGGATGAGGCGTAAAACTCCTGAACTTGAAGGCTAGGATGAGGTGTCAACTCAACAAATAAAAGGCTCCCAACCACGAAAAGTGAAAATAGCAGCGAGGTCGGGTGACTAGTCAGACAAAATGATGCTTAAATCAACACTTCTCAAAGAAAATTGGGACCAAAAAGTGTCCAGGATAGTCGTAGAGACAAACCTGGACCTACTGTAAGAAGTTAAGGTACTAGGTGTCGGAACAGCAGTACGAGCTCTGTTAGGCTACATCTAAAACGGATAAAACCAATATATCCATACCACGACTAAACACATGATATGCATGAAGTGCATGAATGCACGCAAATCGAGGTAAACATGACATATGTAACATACCCTTGGATGAATGTACAAAAAGGAATGATGATGCCTAGACGGAGGTGACGTGAGGCAAGGATGTTAGGACACCGTGACATGATGCCCTAGCTATGAGACGTGGCGATATGACATGGGAAA